TACATCAGATTTTAATCAGATTGCTCACCACCCCTCTACTGGCGGGGACCGGGCATGCTCCTCCGAACAAAAAATCTATACCCCTAGAAGCGCTATTTCCTACATTTTGAGAAGGAAAACAAGCATTCCTCTTCAACTGTGTTGCATGGACACAAATACGTAAGGGATTTCAGCTTGATTTGGAGAGGAGGCGACCCCAATATTTTTCGGGGCGCCCATCCCCGCCACCGCCACTGCCAAGCTACCAATGCAATTCCAATATCAGAGAGATGCTTAACTATTTGAGTTACGAAAACATCGAGTTACATAAACATCAAGATACAAAATTTGCCACGCCCAATTTTTATCAAGGTAAAACCACACTTAAATTGTTCTAGTTATGGGCAACATAGAATTGTTCGTTTTTGTCTACATTTTAGTAACTCGAACTTTACTTAACAGTTAAACCGAACTTTGAGTTACGGGCTACATCTCTGGTTCGGCCGATGCTTGGAGATTGCATCCTACGGGTTCATATTCCATCAACATTTGGGGGAGGGGGCAAAATCGCAGCAGATCGGTTGTTTATTAGTTGGGCACGCATCGTAGAACCCAGGAAGAACCAATAGTAAAGCAACACTTTGGTTTGACCTACCACGTATTACAATATTTTTTTCGTCTGCAGAGGCAAATTTACAACAAATATAACGTTAAATGCATATATTATATGCAATGTATATTTTTTTTAATATTAATAAAATCAAGTGTCCATGTTCTACGTACTCCGGTCCAATGGAATGTATGTCATCGTCAGTCATTCATCTGACGTCACTGCACTTCGAACAGTACGGCACAGTGGAAACGACGACATTGTTGTTGTACGTGCACAGATCTGACTATTCCGGCATTATTATACACTTTTAACATCATTAGGATTACAATACAACTGGGCGTTGCCATTGAAAACATTGATATGAAAATTACTGCGCATATAGTAAATTATATAGTTATAGTGTATTGTCGACATTTACCGACGTTTTAATTACCTGGCCACAGTGTACGTTATCGCAGTGTACCTAGATTCGACGCCATATGGATCACATACAGCTCGGAAACTTCACGCAAATCGTCGGTGATTTCAAATCTGATTTATTGTAAGTTTATTTTATAACTTCGCCTTTTTTTCAGAAGTTTGAACACTTCCGCTTTCCCTTGTATCAGCCGCCCTGTGTCTTCCCGTCAACAAGATCCGGGAACGTTTGACGTGGTTTTCAAGTTTTAGGACAACGCGATCGTGCGAATTTGAGTTGTTATTTTTTCTTTCGCAATCAGCAAGACAACTTTATAAAAATAATAAACAAAAAGTGATTCGCAGGGAACCGACGAAAACAATCAACTTTTTGCACACGGCACCAATCTAAGATGGCGACCAGCAGCGATCAAGAACTCTCGTTTGTTAGTAACTTCGTCGATTCCAAGCCAACTGAGCTCTACACACCCAACGGAACTATACCAAGTTTAGAGGACGACGAGAGCTATACCTTCCGCGTCAGTACGTCAAAAATGGGTGAGAATCTGCCCCGATTAGCGCTACGAGACGACTATGAAGTCAGTGATGAGGACGCACCGCTAATATGTCCCTCTGACAGCGACGACAGGCTGTGTGCAGTGAATGTCGCCGACCACCATTGCCATACTGGGCAGGCTCCTACGAAAAACAGCAAAGCTCAGAGACAGCTAACAATTGCATGTGTCGTCGTTCTTATTTTCATGATAGCTGAAGTTATAGGTAAGCTCACATATAACTAAAGTATGTTTACATTCACTGATTAGACACTGATTGCATCATTTTTATTATTTATTTTATTTGCACAAGAAGTCAAATGTTATGGCGAGGTCGTCTTGATACGAACTAACACTTATAAACTATGGCCGATATATATAGTGTAGACATTAAACTCTCGATACTCCTACTACTTAAACTGTGGAAACGCCCCCCAACCCATTGTTAAGTTAGGTCAGAGTAGGATGTTCACTTAGAAGGGGCACACTGTTACAATGTCGTCATTGCCACATTGCCTTGTGAGATATAGTATATAGTATAGTATAGTATATTTTATTTGGCACTAAATAATATATGTTGTTACATTATCTGTGGTCAAAAGACATTAAATATTATAAAACACAAGTACACACACAAGACAAAAGAAAATACATAAATAACTAAAGTCTAAGTAAAATTACTTATAGTAAAAAAATATGCTGTCAGTAAATTTGCTAGCACTATTGGCAATGAACCCATCTCTCGAACTTAAAATTTCTGCAAAAATTTGTTGTTTTGATAGTTTAAGGATACATGTACTTTTATTATAAATGCTAACTGCATTCAGAAATTCAGTACGAGCATTTGTTATTCCAGTATGGTTACAGTCTAAAAGTGCATGGATTTCATATATGTGTATGAGTAACGACGGATTGAGAGGGGCATGCACCCTCTAAATCCGCAACTTTTCATGATGGCAATAGGATGGGCCTTTGATTAGTCAGTGACTCAATGAAGAGTCCGGTCAAATGATTTAAAATTCATTATAGATTTATTTGAACCTTAAAAAAAAAAAAAAAAGTTTTGTTTCTTGACATTGTGTGTCTGTTTGAAAACTACTCACATATTTTTTTTTTATTTTGTGCACAAGGTTGGGGACATTTTTAGAAAGGGAAAATGTTGTTTTGTGTTTCAATGGTTGTTAAAATCTTAATCTACCTCATGATAATGCATGTATTTTGAAACATGTGTGACAGACTTTGACTGTTGCATAGACTAAAGAGTACAGCATGATAAATTACTAAGCTTTAACTAGGGAATTTCTCTGGTTATGGGAAGGAGTAGAAAGAGTCTCTGGTGATAATTAGTGTCAAACCGAGGTCAAAAACTTTACTTGTGATTTTCATTAGGAGAGCACATTGGATTGTGGGCAAATTAGTATTTATTACCACAAAGTTCACACAAGTGCGGCACAACAACAATAAATAAATGTTATGGTTACAGGTACTGTAGAATACTTTATTTTCGCTATTTTCACTGAAGGGATGATTCTGTGAAATTAAAATCCGGCGAATATACTTTTTTTCCTATATTTCACATTAAACTCATCAGAAATCAGTGAAAATAAATTCCATACAAAACGCCCAAAAAGCCTTTTCAGCAAAAATTAATTCCAGTAAAAATAAAGTATTCCACAGTATAACAATTATTATCCATTGACACAATTATCAGTACATACAGATGTTTGGTTCAGACTGACAAAATATACAAAAAGTAAAATAATAAAATATGTACTAGTACATTTTGTATTTATAATTGTAGTGGGATTTTTCAAGGGCTTTGTACACGCAATTAACTCTCTTGTGATTCACAGTAAATCATAGCAAATTAATGGAGTTGAGACTGAAAATGTTTTCATCATCTGCAAGTTGTCAACAGTTAACCTCTTTCATATGCTGTGCTGTATGTATGTAAGTTATGTTATTAGTTAGCCATTTGTTCTGCAGCGTTTCGGGTCTGAATAGGATCCTAGGCAATGTGTTGATATACACGGCAGTGTTGGTGTGCAGGCCTGGCCATAACCAATCCGACAC